GAGTTTATTCACAACTTTCTTCAGAATTTATAATTTCTACTTAGGTCAGCAACAATACATCATTTTGTCCCATTCAGTATTTTTTCATTCAATGCATCCATTTTACAGAAAGAAGTTAGTTTTTTGGATTCACAGGGTACAACCCTAACAGCTTCAGGCTACAGCACAAAAATAAATTACAATTTCAGATCTCTATGCATGTATTCACTCATATTTTCATTCAGAAATTTATATTTCCATTTGGCAAACATGTGCTTTTCCAATTGAATGTAGCCTGACTACCCTAGTAAAAGAGTAAAATTATCAATAAACTTATCTGTGAAATAAATTATTGCTATTGAGAACTCAATTTTTACATAATGATTTTAATAAGCTATGAAAACAAAGTAATGAGATAATTTTAAAATAACTCATGCTGACTACCCTTCTATATTAAGGTATTTAATAAGGGATATGTAATTAGGCTATCAACTTTTTAAATAAATATAATATGTATCAAAGCATAGATTTAAAATAGAATATACAAATACAAACACATGTATACATAGTTTTAAGCCTTCCTGCTTTGTAAAGGAAAATCAATAGTAGAGAGATAAAATACAAAGTCAGTTAAAATATTAACGCTTGCTTGTAGAATATATAATTGTCTTCGCCCATTTATCATCTCACTAATCTGGTTAAAAAATACGTGTTTGTGAAACAAGTTGATAATTACATTTACAAGAACATCCTTAATAGTGTTATGGTTGATATATGTAACGTACTTCTCTCATGGGGTAAAGATTTACAGAAACAACTAGACCAGCCATGTCTTCCTTAAAATATTTCTTATTAATGGAACTTAGATTTGGGTTGCAAAGTATAGAATTCTTCAAAGTTCAAAACAAAGTACAAACAGCTCCAATTGTTGTTTTAAGATACCCAGAGAAAGAGAGTAGGTATGATTTCTTGTTGTTTATATGGTTATCTGAAAGTTAGTGAAAGGGATGCTTTCTAAGTGTTACTCTTTTTGCTGTTAATATTATTCCTTGAGCATTCAATATATTCATATTGGTATACTAAATTTCTTTTTTTTTAAACTGAATCTCATAACATACCTAAGACATAATATTGTTTATTCCCATTGGACAGTCAAAGAAACTAAGGTTCAGAAAGATTAACTTATTTGCTCAAGGTTAAAAATAAACATAAAGAAAATAGCTACACTGCGGATCAAACCAAGGTCATAAGATTCCAGAGCTTATGTTTTAGCCACCATTCAAAAACAAACAAGTATATTTTATCTTGGTAATTCATGGAATCAATTCCTATTTTACATTTCAATAGAGTTACCATTAGAAGATCAACTGCCCAATTTAAAAATGTATTTTTTAAATTGTACTTTTATTTTTTTTTTAATTTTTTTTTCAACGTTTATTTATTTTTGGGACAGAGAGAGACAGAGCATGAACGGGGGAGGGGCAGAGAGAGAGGGAGACACAGAATCAGAAACAGGCTCCAGGCTCTGAGCCATCAGCCCAGAGCCCGACGCGGCTCGAACTCCCGGACCGCGAGATCTTGACCTGGCTGAAGTCGGACGCTTAACCGACTGCGCCACCCAGGCGCCCCTAAATTGTACTTTTAAAGATTGCTTTATATTGTGTCAACTCTATTACTGGGGTTCATACTGATCTTTGAGGCATATCACTCATTTGACATAAATTAATTCACTTTATCAGATGTGCCAGGCACTGGATCAAGCCCTGGGCATGTAAAGATGAACAAACAAAGCATATAGATATTGTAGCTAGTAAATTGTATATTCAATTTAAAGAATGGATTTAACAAGAGTGTAAACAGAAAACGTTTTATTTTTCTCCACCTACTTTATTTCAAATCTCTCTTTTGGCCCCTGGATATTTCAGACAGATCTCTTCACTTTTCCAGTTATTTTAGGTGTTAAATTTTCTTAACAGGTTATTTAAGATTCACTTTTAGATATTAAGATGTACTGTCAAATACAGCATCCAAACTTTAATATCATCTAGTTCAAAGTTTCTTTTACCTCCCAACTCTGTAAACTAATAACCTAACCTAATAACTTAAGGTAGAGGAGGTAGAAATATTGCCTTTGACTCATTTTTCACCTTCTTTGCCTTCCATTTTCCTATAGCTGTAGTGTCAGAGGAAAGGCAAGCAAGAAAAATCTACCATCACTGTATTTTTCTTTTGGCCTACAGTGGCTCCTGGCCAAATGCTAGCTAGCTCTTTTGTAGAACAGAACTGTGAGTTCTTCGGAGCATTCCTCTCCCACCCCCCTTCCCCAGGCCTACTGCACTGTAGGTATGGGTGGTACTCTTCCTAGCCAATCTCTAGCCCTGCTGAGCTCCTAACCTACCTCAGATTCCATCACTCCACTTCTTTATGTTGAGCCTGCTTGTCCTGTAAGGCAGCTGTCCCTCCATTACATCGTCCAGTGTCCACTGATTAAAAAAAAAAAAAAACAAAAAAAAACTTACACACTTTCCTCGCATGGAGAAAATGTAGGTTCTTTCCACTGCCACTCTCTCTCCTGGCCCCTAATTACCATCAAGAGATGCTCCAGTCTAACTTTCTGACTTTGAATTCATTACATAGGAAGAGAACACAGGTCTTTAATTATACAGTTATATGCCCACAAACCTTAAGAAACTAAAGTCACAGTCTTCTGTGAAGTCATTCACTATACTTCAGTTTAGTCTGATTGTTTTCAAAAAGTGGATCATGAAATCGATTTATTTGGTTTCAATAAACATTTCTTATTATGGAATGGAATAAAATGGAATAGAATAAAATTTAGAATAGAATAGAACAAAATAATTGTGTTCAGTTACACACACACAAGCACACAGAAACACACATCTGTTGGAAAAAAAAATCTGAAAGTCCCTGCGTTAATCCTATGGAAACACTGGTCCTTGTGATTCTTTAGGCTGAAAGTAATATGATGGCCTTCTCCCTTTAAGTCAACTCAATATGAATGGTTGCCTTGGAGCATTCCTCAGCTGGTGCGCTGGATGGCACCATATTCCCTTCTCCCACTCTTCTTCAAGGACATTACACAGTCTTCTTTTAGAAAAAAAACTTTAATCTTCTTTTATATAAAAATAGAGCTGGAAATAGGTGATGGGTGTAATAGTTGCTAGACCAATTTTGATCTATTTTTTAGTTAAGTGTAATATGGATATATTTAGTACTTCTATTTAGAGTGTAACAATATTTATCAGTACTCTCAGATTTGGGGCTACAACCTAGATTCTAAAACAACAGGAATGATTCCTTTCAAGTACTATTACATGTGGTCATCATAAATTGAAAAAGTCTCTACGGAGATTAATACAATTCAGTTTTGAACCTACTTTAACATGAATTGTGGCTCCTTGAAAATAATATAATCATTTATAATTAATATTCATAATAGCTTTCAAAATACAGGTTTCCCTCTTCCTTGATTTTATCCAGTGCTTTTGCTTCCCCATTATGCTTATCCATACACAATGTAGGGGAAGAAACATTAAGCCTCTCCATACCCAGCCACTATATATCTCCCTTCTCAGGGAAGTCAAATCCCATGTGGCCTCAACAGGGTCCTAGTACTGCCATGTAGCTATCCCTCCTAAGCCATAATTACAAAACATTGAGGGAGCAAACCCCTCTCTCCCTGTGACATGAGGAGTCGCCCAGGGCAAAACCCTGTAAGATCAAACAAACAGGTCCAGGAAACAGCAGCACCACTTTCTTCAAACAATATTTCCAGTTGGCCTATTGTTGCATGACCCAAATCCTGGAAACCACCAACTGCCTGCAGATCCATTCAGTTTCTTCCCTGTCCAGTTTCTTCATTTTCCTTCTATTTCTTCACATGCAAATTATATTCTCCCAATTCCAATCCTGATTTACTTGTTTGGGGCCCCATCTTTAAGTTCCTTTCAAACGACTGTTATTGCAGAGTTTCCATGTCTTTGTGACTACTTTTCCCCACCTGACTCATGATTTAATTGAACTCAGTATCCAGCCTCATCCAACTTTGGTCCCACCAAAAGGCAACTTTCACATTTAAAAAAAAAAAAAATTTTAACGTTTATTTATTTTTGAGACAGAGAGAGACAGAGCATGAACGGGGGAGGGGCAGAGAGAGAGGGAGACACAGAATCGGAAGCAGGCTCCAGGCTCTGAGCCATCAGCCCAGAGCCTGACGCGGGGCTCGAACTCCCGGACCGCGAGATCCGCGAGATCGTGACCTGAGCTGAAGTCGGATGCTTAACCTACTGAGCCACCCAGGCGCCCCACACATTTTTAAATCATGTAGGTTTGGATGTATCATTTGGAGGGCGAAATCAACAGATCTTCTATGCTTGTGTAACATTCCAAAGGTTGAGGCTTGAATATTTATATGAGGTGGAGGAGTTTATTGAAGAGAAACTAACAGAGTTTATGAGGGAGGGGTATATCCTAGACCTCTCAGCCATCCCTTGGAACTGCTCTATGCTCTGCTGTAAAGAAGATGCCTAGGGGTGCCTGGGTGGTTCAGTTGGCTAAGTGTCTGACTTCAGCTCAGGTCATGATCTCACACTTTGTGAGTTCGAGCCCTGTGTCAGGCTCTGTGCTGACAGCTCAGAGCCTGGAGCCTGCTTCAGACTCCGTGCCTCCCTCTCTCTCACTGCTCCTCCCCTGCTCACATTCTGTCTCTCTCTCTCTCTCTCTCAAAAATAAAGAAGTATGAAGAAAAATTAAAACAAAAATAAAGAAGATGTCTAAGGTTTTATCCACCCTTTCCTCAAGCCACATCTCTGGCTTTGACACTACTATTGTGGAGGTGTTCTGAGCAACTAAGTGTATATAGTCCCACTTGATATTAGATCGAGGTCAACAATGCACTGTAGTAAAAGGTTGATGTGTAAAGAGGCAGAAATGGGATGGATATTACAGGATCATCTATTTGTCACCTTTTTATCCTATATGTTAACATTCTTTCCCCATAGAGCCCTGCAAGGAAGACCATTTTCAGTGTAAGAATGGAGAATGTATTCCACTTGTGAATCTCTGTGACGGTCATCTGCACTGTAAGGATGGCTCAGATGAAGCACATTGTGGTATGTTTTGATTTTAAGAAAACACTTATCACTTTAGCCTCTACACTTGGATCCTCCAAATGTCAAAGAAAGATCAGAAATGTATTTATCAGGACGTGTTTTGTTCCTTTTGTGTATCATCATTCCCCTTGTGACTTCCGCACCTTGGATGCCACTCTGGTTAGGAGAAAAATTAACAAGCAGACCCCTGTTTATTGTTAGTTTATTTATATAAATTTGACTACATTTAGTAACTTTAAGTCTAGGACAACCCATATTCAGGTAGAAAGCATAAAGTAGTACTGGGAGACAATGGCCCACACCAGGCCCTCTAGCACCGCCCATATTGACTATGATACTCCTTTGCCTGCATATGGAGGCACCCTCATGTTTACTTATAACTGACTATGTTACACTTGCTCCTTTGCATTCTTGGTTCTTCAGTATCTACTTCTCCTCCTGCTTAGTTGAGTCTTTAGTCTCATCTGCTTCCAAACCTCTATAATGAGTTGTGGCTTCTTTCACTATATCTTGCTTTTATTTCTAAGCAGATACTTAGTGCTGCTTATTACATGCCATGCACTATATCTGATTGCTGCAAAACAATCTTAACATAAGAAGAATTAGCTCTTTTTAGCCATGAGAAAACTGGGGTTTGGAGAAGTTAAGTGGTTGTCAAAGATCACATACACAGTAGGGGCTAGAGTTGCATTTTCAACCTAAGTCTGTCTAATTCTAACAATGCTGTTGCTTTTCTCAGAATAGGGGGAAAAATGTAAACAATAACATGAAATTTACCCATTGTGGGTAAAACTATTGTTTCTGATGTTTTACCTGTTTGATAAACTGGCTTAGCTTGGCCCAGTCCCTACCTAGCTACTAATAGCATCTATACTATATCCAAAATGCTTGTAAGATGGTGGGGAAGAGATGGAAACCAAATAGCATAAGAACAAGGCCAAAGAAAATAGCCTCTAGAGAAAGAAGTAGGAAAAAAGGTGCCTATGAACTTGAATTTTCCTTGTTTTAGAGACCAAGCTTGTGAGACATACTCCTCACAATAAATATTATTTTCCATTTATTTTCTATTTTGATATGCACTAAACTTCCATATCTCTCTGCCTTTTTCATTTTTGTAGTTATATGAAAAGAGCAATGTAAAGTCTATCAAATTTATATTTTTCAACTTAAGCTTTCTAACATCCTCTTTTTTAAATGTTTATTCATTTTTGAGAGAGAGAGAGAGAGAGAGTGCACGTGAGTGGGGGAGGGACAGAGCGGGAGTGGGGGAACAGAGGATTTGAAGCAAGCCCTGCACTGACAGCAGAGAGCCCTACACAGGGATCCAGCTTAGAACTGTGAGATCGTTACCTGAGCTGAAATCGGACGCTCAATGGACTGAGCCACCCAGGCGCCCTCTAACACACTCTTTAAAAAAATCACAATCTCTAAACTCTAAACATTAAGAACATTGCACATGTAGTTTACAACCCATCATTTACTTTTAACAACTTAGGTCAAAATGACCCTGTGTGTGATCTAATTTCTTTAGTGCGTCTTTTCAATGGCACCAGGAACAACAATGGTTTGGTGCAGTTCAGAATCCTGAGCACATGGCATGAAGCTTGTGCTGACAACTGGACCACACAGATTTCAAATGATGTCTGTCAGTTGCTGGGATTAGGGTAAGTAATTCTACTCAGCTCTGTTTTAAGCAAGTCTCGAACTTTCTTATTGGTATGAAACTGGGTTTATTAAGACATTTAAAATTTATGGAAGTTATGAATTTAGAAAATACATGTTAGCAAAAAGAAGAAAATAAAAATCTTGATTAATGCTATACTCAAAAATAACCACTTAACATCCTTTTTATAAATATGATATAAATATAAGTATATAGAAATACTGTATTATAAAATCATACAAAATATTATACTATTCTGTTTTGTAGCATACTTACACATGAGCATTTCTCATGTCATTAAATTTCTATAGACTATCATTTTTAAGAAAATAAAATATTCTATTTTATGCTATATCACAATATATATAACTAATCACAAAGGTCCCTAGAGAACATGTTTTTGCTATATCTTTCTATAGCAAATAGCTATAACTATTTCTACAATAGTTCCTTTGGAAAATCTGTAACAGTGTAATTATTGTGAGAAAAGACATGCAAGGTTTCAAGACTTTTTCAAGAATTGTAGTGCAAATGATAATTCCATATCAATGACTCAACTAAAATTTATTATACTTTCAGTTTGTCATAACATGTTGCATCAAATATACAATTTCATTTTTTACCTTCCCGTAATCTCAAAAGTAATGAGGTTTAAAATAGAAAGGAACAGTAGCAATAATTTGCTTCTTTTTAGTTGTATAGTCGACTCTAATTCAGCATTGTGATCCATTCGTATTTGTGATTTACCAAATCACAATTTGGGAGATTTAACCATTTTAGATTACACATGGTAATTTGGTCATTGGTAGCACTATATTATTTACCACTTTGTTTTATCATATTAAACTATAAAATCTAAGTGTAGGAAGTATGCCTAGTTTATCCATTACTTCATTGCTAACACCCAAACTTATCATTGTCTCCAAATATGGGTACTAAATAAACATTTGAAGTAATAAATTATTCATTTTATATAAATATATGTGTGCATATAAATATAGAAATACCTACCTATCTAAATGCCCAAAGTTGCCCAACTATAACTCATTATCATTTTATTCTGTCCTGAACTGGGGAATTTTGTATAAAATTAAAAATAATTTAAGTCCACATCCACACATACCCTCAGCATTTGGCCATTATCCCAGCTATTCCTAGCTCCTCAAAATCAAAAGTAATTGAGTGCTTTCTTTATAAGGGGACTCCTTCTTAGTTGATTAATAATCATATAGTCTTCATGCGATACACAGGTTTTCAAAATTTATTTCAAAATGTTTATTTTTTTAGCCCAAGACATATTTTCCACAAGAATAACATTAATGAGTGATTAGGTCTTGGTGTAATCTGTAAGAGCTGTTTCATTTCTAGTTGACTGGGAGAGTTACATTGTATACTAATGCCAGGCTAGCACCTAACCACCACATAGCGAGATTTTACCATAGGAAAATGTGTGAGGTCCTACTCAGGGTATCAGATACACCCCATAATTTTTTGCAGTTTGAATTGAGAGTTTTCAACTCCCTTTACCTCCTAAAATGCTGTCATTAAGATTGTGAACTCCCCAGTTTCAAGCCTCATTCAAGTGATGTCAGCCTCATCAGGAAGACAATTCCTACAACAAGCAAAGGGAGGATGTGATTTGTCGCCCGTTATGTAAATAATCATCAATTTGATTTATGTGCATTAATCAGAAGCTTCCTGCACTTTATATATATTATCGTTTTTATAATACATCATAGCCTGTATTCTAACAAAAACTTTTTCAAAATGGGAGGCTTTGAGACATAGGGGGTCTTGGAGGAGGGTAGGCTGTAGAGGGAATAATGTTTTTTGATGAAGACTCAACAGAACACTGAAACTGACAGTTGTTGATTTATTCCCACTTCAAGTAAAGCACTGGGTAAGTGGCATTGATTCCAGATTCCTACTTTAATTCCGATTTTAGTTCAACAGTGAGTTCATACAGGTGAGGCCTGAAGAAGTTGTTTGCTGTCACTACTGAAGTTGTCAGTAATTCTTAGGAACACTTTTATAGACTCAGGAATTTAGTAAAGATTAAGCTAAGGAGATTGGTAACTTGACCTTATTTCCACAAATGACAAATCCAAATGATCTAGATGATGGAGCTCTCAATACACAGGAGCTTGTGTTCCAATTCACCATCTAGCCAAGAATCATTATATGGTTATAGACACAGGAGTGTGTTTTCATTCTGGTTGTGAATCTTAACTAAAATAGTTTCCGGGGAGATATATGGGTTCAAGATGAATCATTTACAAAGACCAAAGGATCAACATCCTCTTTGACAGAAGTTTTTAAAAATTAAGTGAAATATGTTGAGGGATAGCACAATACTGATTCCTGCAATTGCACGAGAGAATGTGTTGGAAAGGGAACATATATCTTAGTACTTTTTAACAGTTGTTAATATAAATGTGTTATTTTAATTACTCCTGGATCAGAAATTGAAGCGTTAGCAACAATGTTGTGTCTGTTCCACGGATGAGTAAAACATGGTTTTTACTTCAGATATGTTGGGGATTGACACGTAAGTAGATAATGACAATATAACGTGACGAATGCAATATGCTATTAGAGAACCACTCAATTTGGTAATGTAAAGGAAGGCTTTCTAGAAAATGGCTTGAGCTGAGTGGATGACAGCCAATTCCACACAACTGTATACTATCTATTTACATGTTTTTCTCCCAGCCAGATTTTACTGTCTAGTTCACTGACCTCATTTCCTATGAATCACAGCCCTTCCAGCAGGAGACAGGGACAAAGAACTAGACTTTTTAGTGTGTATAAAGCAAATAGTACATCCCATTGCCTTAGATACAATATTTTTGATGAAGGTCAGGCACTTGCTTTCTTCAGAAATGAGTCAGGTAATCTCTTCAAAGACTTTAATCTTTGGGCCTGCACTTATTAAATAGTCTCCACAGTGCCCTAGTAATTGAACGAAAGTTATAGCCTTAATGAGAATGTGTCTAGACTGGTGCATGGTACCCGAAAGAAAACTTAGTGACTTTAAAATGATGTGTTTGGTACAGTGGAAAGTAATTTAGGAGTCAATTTATTAAGAAAGCACTGTGGTCTCTCAAGATTATTTATGCAGATAGGGTACAAAATGCAATTCCCCAAAGATTCTAGTAAATCATATGAGGTGGATTTCATCAGCCTTCCTTCTTTTAAATGAAGCATTTTCATTCCCTGCCATTTATAGCATGCGTAAGTAAAAAAGTACTTTAAATAACACTTTCATGTCTCTGATCAAAGTATGAAAGAAAACATTTTACACTGATGAAAGAATAAATGTTAAAGAAACTTAGAGTATTGATTTTTAAAACATTTCCTAGGAAAGCACACTACCTCGTTACTAACCCAATAAATGAACTATGTGGTTGACTTGCCCCACTAAGCCATTAAAAACTAGAAGTCATCAGGTCTGTGCAGCTTTGCAGAATTTAGGAAAGGCTAATGTCTTAAAAATAGAGGTGGTTATACATACCCCTCTTAGCCTGCTTGTGAGGAGTTGCTGGTAATTTTTAAATCCCACAATAGTCCTGTGCAAGATGCCCTCAATTCAAATGTCAGAAACCTCATGTTGAGCCTCTCATTCTCAAATCCAAAATAAGAAATGGAATTATTGCAAGGTCTTCCATTTCAGAGGGGTTTTGAAAATGTTGGGGGTGGGATGGGGAGGGAATATTGTTTTAATAAGCCTTCCAAATAAACAGAGCATAATGATTTAATATCCTGTGTAAGTACCACCACAAATTCGTATCCACAATTTAACACTGGGTCTTAGAAAACTGAAACATAGAAAATATAGAACCAGTGTTTCATATTAGTTTTAAAAATTGGTAGGCAAAAAATATTCCTGTTCTTGCCCATATTTCCAGTCATTGTCCTCAAATTTTCAACTATGTGGAAAAAGCCTTAACATAAAACAACAACACAGATAAGATATGGGAATCATTAGAAAAAATGTAACTACTACTTTCTACTTCAAATGATTTCCTTTTTATTTGCTAACTTTATACAGAAATAATTAAATACTATTTTCTGTTGTTTTTAATTTGCAAATTCAACACCAAAGGTATTCTTTTCTATTTTCCTAGGTGGGATGGTAGGGGGAGGGCAGGTTATGGGAAAGATGGTGGGAAAAAAAATTATTTTACTTAGTTCAATTGACCAACCTAAAAAGTTCATCATTTGCCTAATATACAAACTGTAACTCTCACATTCTTCCTATTTTGTTTTTTTTTAATGTTTATTCTTTTTTTTTTTTTTTTGAGAGAGAGAGAGAG